GTGGATCATAACAAACTGTGGCTGACTCTGAGAAGAATGGGAATCCTAGAACATTTCATTGTGCTAATGCGAAACCTATACTGGAGGTCAGCACAAATTCCTTCAGAAGTCTGGATTTTTAATATTACAGCCTTTCTAGAAATTCAAGCACAGTCATTTAGCGCTATAGTTAGTTCAGATAAACTATGAATCTACAATTAAACTTTAGCTCTCATTATTCACTCAAGTTGCCAAAGGTCTCTTTACATACAACACAGAAGAAATGCCCTTTCTCACATTAAAGGGAAACTACGCATATGTTTTTTGGTACATTTGTTTGATTGAGAGTGGTATTAACAGGTCTTCCTTGTACGTGTGTGGTTATTATCTTGTTGCTCATAACACTTTATTTCATGAGAGATCTAGAAATAGACTTTTGAATTATGAATGCAACCCTGCTTTTCCTCCCTTTTTCATTTCCAGTATAGCAGATAATGTGATACAAAATGTCCCATGCCAATCCATTTCATTTCATCATTACCTAGTATGTCAATATTTATGTGTTCCATTTCTTTACTAAAACTACCTGCATTAAGCAGATGACACAATCTTGCTTGCCAAAATTGAGGCGAACCTGAAGCGTTTGCTGCAGAAGGTCAAGAACTATAGTCTTCAATATGGTTGGAAGCTCAATATCAAGAAAACAAATATCCTCACCACTGGGCCAACTGGCAGCACCATGATGGATGGAGAGGAACTTGAGATTGTTATCATTTCAGCTTACTTGATTCTACAATCAAAACTCTCGGCAACAACCATTAAGAAATCAAAAGATGAATTACATTCAGAAAATGTGCTGTCAGGGACCCCTCCAGAGCAACAATGACAGTCTCAAGACTAAGGTCCGTCTGATCCAGGTCATGGTCTTTGCTTGCTCTGCATCAGAGAGCTCGGTCATGACCAAAGAAGACAGAAGAATTGATGCCTTTGAGTTGTGGTGCTGGAGAAGAGTATTGAACATACCATGGACTTCCAGGAGAACTAACAGGTATGACTTGGAGAGAGCAAAACCAAACTGCTTCTTGGTGGCTCCATCTCACATACTCTGTGTATGTTGCCAAAAGGGACCAGTCCTTAGACAAGGATATGATGCTTGGAAGGGTGGAGGGACAATGCAGGAGAGGAAGACACTGGATAAGATCGATTAAACTGGAGTAATAAGAGTAAATGTGTCAGAGACAGATTGGCTCAGGATAGGGAATGGTTCAGAGCATTGCTATGAATCTTAGTAGACTCGACAGCACATAAGAATAATAATGATAATCTAACATTTATTTGAAATGTGTATGCCTGGTGAGCCTCATTCAAGTATTTTCAACTGTTTTCTATGTGTCTAAAAGTTGGACAGTGAATAACAAAGACTGGAAAAGAAGTGATGCTTTAGAATTGTGCTGTTGGAGAGTACTGAATGCACTAAGAAAAAACAAACAAGACTGTCACACAGGAAGTAAAGCAATCTGATTTCTAATAAATGTAACTGTTAATAACAGAAATGTAAACAATAAGATTCAACTGAAATATCATTTCAACATTACTTGTGGGTAGATGAATATGTAAGTAATGAAAGAATT